TTTTTTTTTTTTGAGTCTTGCTTTGTGTTGGGTGTGTTTTGGCTTTCTGTAGCATTCAAAGGTACAAATAAAGGTGGTGGTTTTTAACCTATATAACCTGAATGTCCTGGATGCCCCCTTATACCGCAGTTAACAAGGGGCAAAATTGGAGAGTACTAGACACAAATATCTTAACTGGGAGGTTTTCTTTGTTTGATCACAGTTTATGAGGGGCTTGCTGTAAATCTTATGTGTGGGGAAATCCTCTGGATACTGAATCCTAGAATGGGGCTTGGCACACAGTTCTTTAGCTATCTCATGATCTAATTTCAGTTCGTGCAGAATTCCTTGCTAATAACTTGCTGGTCATGGAGTCAATTAAGTATTGGGTCAAGTTTCATATGGATCCTGCCAAACAAAATTTGTATAATAACTGCTATGTGGCATTGCAAACTGATAATCTGGATCTGCTTTGTGTGCTGGTGTGTAGTATGGAAGTGGTAACTAGCACGTTTATCATCAACCCTTATCCATTCAGTCTAGGAAGTGATGAGGAAGTGGGTGGTCCAAAGTGAAATCTGTAAAAGCTCCCATGAAACATCATGTTCCACATTGAAAATGATATCATCCATCCTTAGATTTGACACCCATTAGGTTTCACAAAATTCACTTCCTCTGTTAATATATTCATTACTGAGCTTTGCAAGATGCTTCACTGTCATCTCCTTATTAGACAGAAATTATTCTAATGAATTACAGTACTTACTGTGGTATAGCAAATCTATACCAGATGCTTCCATTTGATGGAGTAACATTAAGGCCAACTTCAGAGCATAAACAGGTCTAAAGAAGCACAGTAGTTGATGGAACGGGTGAGAAGAGGAGTCTGCATAAAGTGGGTTGTGCCATTCATTGCTAAGAGAGAGGCAAGAAAGTCACATGATTGTAAACTGGTCATTTTGAATATTCAGCTCAGTTGGTCATTTGTCCTTCTAGTCTTGCCCAGAGCAGATTTCTTTTCTTCATCTCCCTACTAATTTGATCTTTGAATTTGAAGAGACAGGCTTCTGGACTGATGTCACAAATTTGGCACCATGTACAACCAATACTGAACCCAAAGCAGAGTCATAAAGGAAGTTGCATCACCTTTCATTTTTTGATCTCTCAAGTTTGGGGGCAGTGAGGGTGACAGCGTGGCATAGTGGTTTGAGTGTTGGACTGCAACTCTGGAGACCAGGTTTGATTCCTTGCTTGGCCATGAAATCCACTGGGTGACCTTGGGCAAGTCATATTTGGGATTTTTATGTTCAGTTTAGATTGTATTAATATATTAATTAATTAA